GTGTGTGTGTGTGTACGGGTGTAACAGGCCTAAGGAGGTCCAGCTACAGGAGACTACAACAGCTTTGTGAGGACCCTCGTCCTGTCTTTGCGTCCTATTGGTCGGTCTCACCTTCACTTGTGTGTTTGGGAACAGAAGCTTCCTGTCTGACATCATCAACGAGCAGAGTGTTTTAAAACTGGGACGTGAGCGAGGACCTGAATGAACTTCCTGTTTCCTTCAGCGAGTTCACAAACCTGCCAGGAAACTTTCCTGACTCCTAATCAGAGGTGTCGCCCTCTGCTGGCCATTAGAAAACCTGCAGGTTAAATGTGGAGAGGCCGGGTTCCTGAGGTCCTTCAGAGTAAAAGCCTCTTCCATCACGACTCCGGTGTTATTTCTGCCTCCTCTGCACTCACCGTCACTCTCTGTTCTCGTGCTTGTAAAGCGTCCTTGGGTCTCCTGAAAGGCTTCATCGCTGTAACCTGTCATTACTATTACCGTGATTATTCCACAGGCTGCGTCTGAAACGCTGCAACAAACAGCTCGGCCTGGTTTCCACCTGCTCTCACCTCCAGCTGCTCTGTAATTTTGCTGTCTGTAAATCCGTTTCATTGTTTCCGTGCTGGCAGCCTGTCAGTCACCACAAAGCACTCTGGTTTATTTAAGGTGGACTGGACTGATGGTGCGTGCACGCTGATCTCAGAGAGCTGGCCTTGTGCTGTGTTCATCACAAACACTGGAAATGTCACATTTACAGGTTTGTGTTCAGCGTGTTCTGCTTATTGGAGCGTTTTTATCCGAAGCTGTAACTCTGACAGCCGTTAGTGTCGGGGACTGAATCTGTTTAATGCAACGTTCCTCTTATTACATCGTTCACTGAACGAGAAATCAGACGGAAATCTGTCTGCAGCGTTAAATTCAGACTGTTTTGTGTCTGTATGCACGCTTACCACCACCGCCACCACCGCTGCTGCTGCGGCTCAACTCAGCGGACTGGCCAGTGCGCTCACATTAAACCATTAAATGTTGAGCTGCACATTTGAGCAGCTGCAGAGTGCGAGCAGGGACTCAGAACAGTTCTGCAGACCTGCAGGTTGTTGTCGAGCCCGCAGCTCCTGAGAGCTGTAACGATCGTGTTTTATGCAGCGCGCTGCTAAAGGTCGCTGTGGTTTCATTAAAGCTTAATCACGGATCCCAGCGCTCTGAACCACAGAACAACCCAACAACACATCGGCCAGCAGCTGGTTTACAAATCAGTTATTAACCAATTAGCAGTGATTACTGACGGTGCCGCAGGCTGCTAACAGCCTTCGATCAGCAGCACGATGTCTCTCCTGCTCAGGCAGCCGGAGCCGTTTCTTTGGTACTTTCTGTTTGAGCATAAAAGATTTCTTTATGTGAAGCGTTTCACCAGGAAAGAGCCGACCGACACTCCGACACTCCGTCTGAAAGCCTCTGTTGGTTTTTTCACGTCTGAGTTGTTGAGTGAACGCCGCTGCAGGAGGACGTGCTTCAGGCCTCGACTCTTTTAGTGGCACAAACATCTGTTTTCTGCCTCGCACGCCACGAAAACCCAAAACGCCCACATCTGACCCGAGCGACCTCCTGACAAGCCGCGTTGACGGGACGTCGGCTCTGACGGCTCGCCTGTAAACGTCTGTCAGACTGAAAGGTCAGGCGGGCACGCTCCATCAGACGTGACAGCTGATAAAGACGCGGAGGTAAGACCGAGGAGTCTAATTGGCCTCGTCGCTGCAGGCTTGGAGCGCTCGCACA